CTTTTGGTTTTAGAGTAAAAATACCTATTATAAAATCAAAAGACAACAACATTCCGGAGGGCGAAACATTGCGTTTTTTCCATTTTCTCCAAACGTAAAAGTCAATTTAACGTTTATAAATAACGACTTTTTCAAGGTTTTTTTTAATTCGCTAAAACTTTTTCAAAAAAACGCAACGTCTCACCTTCTGAAATATTGTTCTCCGTTAATTTCATAATAGGTTCTTTTACTCTAAAACGAAAATTAAACGAGTTCTGTGTAGTCTGCGTGCGCATGTGTTTGTATGGCGGAAACAATAAATGCATGTGTAACGTCCGGTGAAGACTATTTGCGCACATATATTAATAAATTTATTAAATATACGTCGACTCGTTTGAGCACAAAATTGTGAACAATAGAAACCTGCTTGTAGGTAGTACAGTTTTGGGTGTACAGGATATCTTAAAGTAAAACGATTATTTTCAACCGTGGTTTCCCATCAGTCATCAGTTATCATCTATCGGTAATCCGTTACAAACGCGACATGATTTATCATTATTCCTAATAATTCTAATCTAACGGTATTTTTGATAAATTCTTCCGCTGATAATTGATAAACCTTATAACTTATAACAAATCTCTTATACATTTTAGTGTTTAGTCTCCGATTGGGGGGGGGGGCGTAATAACAATTTATTTGTTATTTGTTTAACACGGAATGAAAAACGTTGTATAATATTGAATAATTTTAAATTTCAAGAGTGCGGGCAATTAAAATGGAACTCAATGCGTTTGCATGTGTTTTTTATTTTTCGGTGCATATTTTGCCTGTTCTTAGCGCATAAATGCGTGCATATTTAATATATATATATTTATTTTTTTTTAATTTGGAGCTAGGTACGCAGGTCGGGTACACCCGATACGTGGTTAAATCTCTTCCGAAAACGATTTCTATTGTTCTCGAACTGTGCGTAAACGAGTCGTAACCGTAACGTCCTTTTGAGACCGGGCGACGCCGGAGTCGGGCCCGACGAACGCGAATCCGCCATAATATCACGCCGTACGTCGGACGAACCGAGGCGGCGGCTGCGCGCACGGTTATCGCGTCCCGTCGGCGTTACGCGCCGTCCGCCGACGATCCGGACCGGACGGTCGCACGCGTGCGCGGCCAGGCAGAAGAGGCTGCGGACCCAGGGCCGTGTGCGGTTTCGCCGCGCCGCGGCGGTACTCAAAAGTGTTGTACGCACGCACAGACATCCGTTTTACCGGCGGAGAAAGCGAAACGGCCGGACCGTCGCGCGGCGTAAAGCACGCGCCGCTGTAAAACCCGCGTGCACTCGCCGCGCAACCGCGCCGAGACGTCCGCGGTCGGCGCGCGCTGCACGGGCGGCGCGGCGGCGATGGGTACGACGGGTACGCGGCCGCGGAGGCCACGCCGCGCGATATCCGATATCCAGTTTCTACGGTGTAAACACAATATTTGTATTGTACCGGCCCCGAGTCCGGGAGCGGCGCGGGGCCAACACCGGTGCGCGGCGCGCGCCGAAACGCGCGGAGTACCGTAGAAAACGCACGCGCCGCGGACGGGCGGACGGGCGGGTAGTTACGGCGCGGCGGACGCGCTGACCGACGCACACGACGGCCGCCGTGGCCGCGACCGCGGACGTTTTCTTTTCACCTCCGCTCGCCCGGACGTACGGCCGAATCGCGTCGAAAGTGTAATAAAAATACATTATAGGCGCGCACGTTAAAAATGAATGCGCGTTCCCGGGGATAGTATTGTAACGCGCTGTGCGCGCACGCACAGATTACGATAATAATAGGTACGCGGACGTGTAGTAGACGTCGCGGTCGAACGGGATGGCTGGGGGGGGGGGGGGGGGGGGGGGGGGGGGAAGAAAAAAAAAAACCCCCGAAGGGATCGGGTTTTTTTTTTTTTTTTTTTTATCATTTTAATCTTCTTCTATTTTTAAAAACTCGCACGCCTATAATGCAGCCTCTTAACGTGATATTATCACACCGCTATAATAATAATGGTAACAGCGTCCGCCTATTATTATGCCCGTCGTGGTCGTCTCGTCGTCGTCAGGATGATTTTCTCTCGTTAATGTACACGTGCGCCCAACAATATGTTATTTAATAACGTCTCGAGTACCCGACGTTTTTTAATCGCCGTAGATTAATACGATTCCGAGCGGTTTCTCGGAAAACTTTCAAACCGTCGATCTGTAACAGGCGGCGGCGGTTATAATTTATATCCGAAACGGATGCCCGCGAATCGTTTCCCCGCGGAAATGTATAACGGTTTTCGACCTTTTCATATTTTTCGTCTGACCGACAGCAGTAAGAGATCTGTTTTCACGATACTTCATTACTGCCACCATCTTTTATTAATTATAGGGAGGAGCGGACGTAAAATACATGCTTACAAATACTACACACTTTGAAGGATGCGCGGGAAAGTATCCTACCGCTCCACTAAACATATGATGCTTAGCTTAATTTAACTTAACTAACTTAGACTTAATTACCGCACGTGTGCCCCGTCTTCCCAGTCCGGTTGATTAACCCACCGTCTCGGAAGCCCGTTCTGCTCATGCTCTTCACGACCCGGTTGACGGAACCCACCGGTCTGGAATTCGGTAACGTTTTTCAACTTAGATCGGGACACCGTTGAATTCAGACGTTATACATAGCCGACTTTTCAATTTTTGTTTTTCCGACGGCTATGAGAAATATATACGGTGTGTGCACTATGTTTTATTCCCGTCTGTGTAAAGAACTCTTAATCCAATCAGAAAACGACAAGACGTGCGAGCTTATTTCGAGTCAAGTTGGTACATTGAGATGGCCGTTTTTCGATTTTACTACGTGTAGGAAAAACGAAAAAATGTACGACAATAACAATTTTATTATTTTTGATTTGTTTTTTTACCGAATTTCAAGTGTAGCATATAATATTTTTCTGAATGAAAATACTGTCTAGTTGATGCATTAAATGTGGTTTTTTTTTTTTTTTAATTGCCTTTGAAATAACACGTTTTTTTAAAAACTGAGGGGGACGAGAAAGTGTACAACGATTTTATTATTTTAGATTTAGTTTTTTGTTATTCAGTATTAAGCTTATTATTATAACGGTAATGTCAGTAGTATTATTCATATTAACCATTTTAAAAGCTGTGGAATTTTGAAAATAGTCTGTCGGTTTTTAGTTATCAGTACAGATAGCCGCTGCCAGACGATCGGAATACGATTCAGTAAAATAATTGCAGTCATCTAAGATTCGTTAATAATATATAGACACATTTACGGCGTGTCAACCGTCTTCTCGAATAGTTTTTCTTAGATTTTATGTTTAGTTAATCAAATATAAAAATTGAAAAAAAGAACACGTTCTTTCGTTGAAACGAATGATGAAATTATTTGTTAATGTTAATTGTATATATTATACTCGTAATAGAAGCAGTCGTGGACTATGAACTACAAGCATATTTACACCGCGGACACACGGCTCTTGAAAAAAAAAAATCACTGAGTAAACGGACATACTGACTACCAAACCTAAGTGGTTTTGGAGTTATATCGAAGTGAAAGTAAAAATTAATAATATGTACGTAGGTGCCTACGCCCAGATTCCCGAAAAGAAAATCGTATCTCGTTTCTGAATACATACATTTATTTTTTTAGATTTGATTTGAAGTGAGTACGTATTATACCTAATCGAAATGACTATCACTCGTCGTTAAAAAATAAAAATAAAAAAGTTGTAATTTGAGCGGTCTACATTCCTCGGCGCTGTTAAAACCGTACGTTTCGATTCTCCAAGTCTATTATTACGTCCTCGTGTCCAAATGTTCGTTTTTATCGTTACATTTTAACGTTTGAGTGCACTTACATATTATTCGATATGATGGTATGCGGGTGATCGTCGATTTTCGAAACTGACTTGTATTTTTTTTTTTTTTGTACATATAAATTTCCACACGGTTATCATGATTTTGAAAATTTTTACTCGTATAATATTGCATTTCGCTATTAAGGAATACTGTTTGAGAACTCTCGAGAGGTGGAGGGAGTGTCAATTAATAACTCATCATCACTCGGTTTCGCCACTGCAGGTGGCAAACTGGCAACGAATGCGATCGCGGCTAATATGAAAAATACAATATTCAGGGAATTTATATTGGAAGAATTTGTCTTGTCCGTCTATATTTATATCGTGACTCGTCGACTCACGCGGAAAGTAGGCGCACGTGACGACGACTACAGGGGCAGTCGCGAGGTGGGGAAAGGTCAAGAGAAAACGCTGTTTCGAAAACGAAAAAAAAATTAAATATTATTCCGCTTCAGACACGCGGTGAATTTTTCGGACGGGAAATAAAATCGCATATTACCCCCCCCCTCCTCGGAGATGAGCGAGGTACTGTAATCCCGTCGGACAGCCGCGACGACACGACTATTGGAAGCGCTTCTGATCTTCATCATATTGCAGGCATATATTAATGTTTTCACTGTAATGGAAATGCGAGGGCAGTGGTGAATCAAGGGAGAGGTTACGGAGTTGTAACCTCCCCCCCAAAGTATCTTCGAAAAAAAAAAAGTACTTCTAGTTCTGCAAGTCATCTTCTTACTGCGATAAAACAGTCAACATGTCAAACAGCTTTATCTATTTTAGTGACTATACTTTCCATAAGTTTTTCACTTAGTCAATATCTTCAAACAGTAATTCTTAATTTAAGAACTGCATTAGAAGCTGCTAATTTTCAAAATAATATTCAGGATATTAGAGAAAATTGTGATGTAAAGTTTCAACAATTATTTTTATCTGTAATAACTGTCTGTGAAACATTTGATATTATTGTTAGTTTTCCGCGTCGATCTAAATTAGATGATCCAGAATATTTGTTTAAGTTATCTGTATTCGTACCTTTTATAGATAATGTTTAGACCTATTAAACGAAAGATTTATATCGTACAGGACTATTTTGAATAATTTCGATTGTATTTTACCTAAGATAGAAATGAAAATATTTGAAGATATTAAAGGTAAATTCAAACAATTGGTGGAAACATATCAAGATATAATTGATGAATGTAACGATTCAAATTTAAATAATCAAATATTAAACGGAAAATTAGATTTTTGGTACACTAAATATTCAAATTTAACATCTTTCGAACTCAAGAACAAAAATGCTATTCAAGTATACTTCCAAACTAGTTCAGATGTTTATCTATTAATATCTAAACTTTTTCAAATATTTATAACATTTCCAGTGTCTACTGCCAAGGGAGAACGACCGTATTCAACACTCCGTCGTTTGAAAACGTATTTGAGAAATTATTCGGGACAAATACGTTTAAATGGTTTATCCTTACTAAAATATATTCATCGCGATATCAACGTGAATATCAATGATATTATAGATGAACTTGCTAAAACATCGAAACGAAAAATGAGTGTACATTTATAATTTTTAAAAAAGAAAAATATTTCAACTTTTATATAATTAGCGCTGTAAAATAGTAATAAAATGTTTAATGATTATAATGCAAACAAAATTTAAAACAATTTCATTTGTTACATTTTTTTCAACACCCCCACTCAAAAAAAAAAAATCTTAATACGCCACTGCGCGAGGCAAAAGACTTTCAGTTGTCTATGGACACGGTACTTAAAATACCGTATCTGGATACGTACCCGGTATTAGATACATTGTTTTTAGTATCGCAATACAAGATACTCAACAGTTTTCAGAACTGTATCGCGATACAAAACACGAAATACGATTGAACGGATAGTTCGTAAAAAAGGGTACACGTCACAAATTCGTCAAATTTTACATTATACGTGCATTTCGTGGCACATTTCATGACGGATCTATCGGTGGCATTGAAATTTATCCGTCTCGGGTTTAATATTACGACGCCAATGACCATGCGTTTAGGCATAAGTCAAGATGGGGTTGGTACAAACGGGTATGAGCCGGGTACATTATTCGGTTGTTTCTGGTATTTTTTTACCCGCACTCTTTTTCTCCAAAACCGTCCAACCGCATCTATAACATACGCGTAATTCAGACGGCAGGTACTCGTATAGCGTATTTGTCACGCAGCGGTCGCGAACACCGTAGCAAGGGCATTCCCCCCCTCCCCCCAAACGAGTATTAAATGTGTATATATTATAGTTTATATTGCTTTTTCTCTAACGTCCCCTCCCTTAAAATTTGGTTTTGCTCCACCTGATGACTCGGCCTGACCGGAGGATTCCGGAATCGCAACACGAGAACGTGTAACTTTGGTACAGTACTCGGACCCGGAAACGCGCGGCGGATGTCCGCGATTGACCGGCGCGACGGACCGGATGTACCTGCCGATCGCGACGACCGGTAAAATATAATAATATCGTTTACGTCCTATTCGCCAACACGCGCGCGTGCCTAATAAAAAATTTAGTACGACCGCCGACGCGACGAAAGGGAAAACGAACGGATTCGGCGGCGACGACGGCATACCATCGTCGTTATTATTATTATACGTATTATACTATTACGATTTCGATTTTTTTTTTTTTTTTTT